AACCAACAAACGTTTTTAAGATATACCAGGCGCCATAGTTGACGTTATTATAACGTGAGCAGAGAAGAAACTCCTCAAAGAGAAAACGAAATGGACAGTCCGAGTTTTGAAGGTTTTCACAATCAGTTTGATTGTAAGCTTACGTACGATAATGTAAATCGAAAATAGCTCGTGTAGTATGTATGTATATATATATATATATATATATATATATATATATATATATATATATATATATATATAACTAACTGCAGACAGTACTGTTTCGGCCTTCTGGGCCTCATCAGTGCAGTGCTGATGTTAGGATGGGGGTAAGACCATATAGCCACCCCAAGTGATCTCACATATGTGGGATCATCTAAGCCATGCCAGAGTGCTCAAACTAGAAAAACTAGTGAGCATGCATAATGCTAGCAGCAATGACTCATCCTAGTAGAGTGCTCAATTTGGACATGAAAGCAAAGCTTTGTATGCCAAAGAGCTATATCTATATCTATATATATATATATATATATATATATGCGTGTGTGTGTGTGTGTGTGTGTGTGTGTGTGTGTGTGTGTGTGTGTGTGTGTGTGTGTGTGTGTGTGTGTGTGTGTGTGTGTGTGTGTGTGTGTGTGAAAAGACTTGCGTGATTTCACAGAACAATTCACTTTCAGATTGTATTAGAGACTAAAAAACTTCAGGAAAAAACGTTAAATTCGATCCGCCGAACTATTATTAATGAGTTTGTAAACCATTGCAGAATGTGAACTTTGATGGTTTTTGAACTTTGATAGTATTACATTTTTGACAGCTTTAGTCTTGTACAGCCAATCAGATCATTTGAACTATTCTAACAGGAATTCTCACTGACTTATTGTAGCGTGCTTTATGAGAGCAGAGAGCAGAGAGCATGCTGACGACACTGTTGTTCTCTTTGGAAATAAAGTTTGTTTTGAAATATAAAAGTAATGCGTAGGGAATTTAACGGATTCTTTACTATAGAACAAGAAGGGAAGCCTTGACTATGCTCTGTGTTATGTTGTAACCACTTAAAAGGAGCGGCTAGAGCACTCAAGAAGTGGGAAGAAACACGAGACGTAGTCTTGTGTTTCTCCCTACACTTCTTTCGCGCTCTGACCGCTTCCTTCGTGCTTTACAACAGAACAGAGCACAGTCAAGGCTTCTCTATTTGTCAATTGGGAAAACAACAATTCAGAATTTATTGTACGGACAGAACATACAGTCAATTTCAAACGGATTTAGTGTATTGTGCAATCATCCACTGTAGAGGCATATTTTATAACAACAACTAAATACCTTCCTATTTTACGTTTAGTTGACGAGTAGGCTACAAAATTGCTGAAATTATCTATATCTAAATGAGACTGTGTAACAACAAACTCCCTTAATAACTAGAAATTAACAATCAGAAAGCTCTATTTCCTCATATATTTCTTCATTTGATCTTCTTTTGTTCCCTTCCTCGGGAACCACGTTGTAATACCCAGCGTTCACGTGGCTCCCTTGTAAGGATTGGTATTCAGGGGGGACTCGTGTTTGTCCTTCCGAAGGCCTGGGACGTAGCTCCATATATGATGCTGGTTCTGACGCATGCTGCTCAAGTGGAAAGACAGACTGGACAGTATCTTTAATAGTGGCTTTCTTAGCAGTCGCTGGTCTGTTGTTCGCCTGAGCTCTTCTAAGCCGCCATATCAATACACCGATCAAAACAAGCAACAGGAAAACGATCCCTGACCATATGATGTCATTAGCTTGAAAGATGCTCTGTACATCTGTCCAAAATGTAAAGAAAATATACAGATAAATAGAGGTACACTGTGTTGAAACAAATCCCTCGAAATCACATCATTGCTTATTATGAAATATTACCAAAAAAAATGGAACCCTTCCTTTTTAAAAATAAGTCAAAACAAAATTCGAATTGGCTAAAAAAGGCAATTCTAAAGTTATAGGTAGCATAGAGGTTGACATTATTTGATCCCAATGTTCTAATCTAAATTAATTGTAAATCATGACCAAAAGTCGTGTTTGTTGATTTCATTGTTTGTTTGTTTTTCTTTTTTTGTTTTGTCATGAGATCTTGCTTTTTTTATATTTATTAAGTATTTTGCTTTTTAATTGTTTCGTTTTGTTTGATCTTTTTATTTTTTTCGATTTTAAACGCATGTACCTAGATTTTAGCCTACTTTAGGTTCCTCTGACAATACACTAAAAGATAAGAAATAAAAAAGACATAATTTTAATATCAAATTGAGGAGGCTCTAGTAGGGTTTTTTCGCAGTGTTGGCGCGCGCGCCAGCGTAATGTTTTTCTAGAATTTTTTTTTTTTTATCATATAATCTGCGGTGTTACACAAGGATTTCCGGCCCTGAGAAAAGCCGTAACAACACACGTTAAAAAATATCGTATTTATTCACATGCATTGATATAGCCAATCAGCTGCAGACACGTCACTCGCCTTTGGCGCCACTCGGTCAGGTTGATGCATAAACGGCAAAGCCTTCACGATTCTCAATACAAGTTGTTTACCGGAGCTTTCTCAAATTATGGCGGCTAAGATACTAAAAAATCCGTACCACTGACAGACAGTGTGGTTCAAACTTTCCTAGAAGTAGAAGAAAACCAACATACTAAAAAAATAAACCGAAAGTTGCGCATCCAGTGGCTTTGGTGTTAGCATTTCTCTTGGCAGAGAATGAAAATCGACAACTGGAAGATTTGCCACTGGCCGATTTTAGCCGCGTATCTGAAAGACTTCTTCTGTCGGTAAGGACAAAGTCAATAAATGTGAATCTTGTAAATTGAAAATTACGACCACTGTTGTTTTTTAATCATGATTCAACGCATTTTTCCATCTTAAGAGTCAGCGCCAACGCACTTTGCGATTGTTATTCGAGGATTGTCAATTCGTTTATTTTCATTCATTAATGAAGTCGTCTTTTCTTCCTAGTAAAGGGCTATTGTGTTTATATGATAAACAATATAATACATGGTGGCTTGTAGATATAGAATTTCTCTTCGAGTCTTTAACTCGATAGAAGAGAAATTCCATATCTACGGGCAACCATGTATTATTCTCTATGTGATTTCGCTTTTCTAGGTCACTAGACATCATCAAATGGCGATGAGCAAGGTTGGGACTATCGTTTGCTGTAGTAACCATTATCAAAATGATTTTCGTTAAGGCTTTAAGCTAAGGCTTTACGAAGGGAGGCGCTCGCCAGTGAAAATTTTTTCTCAAAATTTTCAAAATTTGTGGAACATGTCCTGCCGATCATTTAAAAGCTCAAAAAAGTAGGGGTTACAAAGGCAGTTTCTTCGCTATTTTCAATTTTGTGTTTTCTTCCTTTATCTCAAATTTAGCTTTATGAATTTTTATCAACAGGCGTAAGGAATGGCACAAATATATTTAAAGGTCTAGCAAATCTTAGGAAATTCCACCGAAGGAAACGTAATTAGTCTGGCTTGAAAGATATCTTTTTTTTGGCAAAAAAAATTTCTTACTGGAATAGAACTGCGCCAAGATCCTTTTAGCAATCTTTCCCACGATGTTTTTGGTTGACCTCTTTTTCAGGCGTAGGAGGCCTATGAATATTACGGTTGGAGTTGCTGAAAACCCTAGATTCCATTTTATAGAAACTTTATTGGGTTAAACTATTTTCAACAGAGCTTTTCAGATAAAAATCGTACGATCGTGTTGAGCCGCCACGTTTGCCTTGCATGTTGACACTTTTAAAGCTCGCGCTATGTACGCACCCAGATCTCACGCGGTCAAAAAACCCTACAAAGCCTCCTTAAACGTTTGATGCAAAAACGTATCTGACTTAGCACAGGCGGCCCAAGCTCCAGCTATGAGATGATCATCTTGCGAAAAAAGAGTCTTGACGAAATTATAAAAGTTTGCATGGGAATATTAACGACCGCCAGGAGCCCATTCCTGTGAGCGCTCTTAGGAAGAAAAAAATACAATCAAATTCTCAATAGAAATACCTAACCTTACTTCTACAGTGCATCGCTTGTTATCTGACCACTTACTATTTTGAAAAAAGCCCATTTTTGGCGAGTTATCCATTTCTAGGTTTACTACGTACATGAGAGAAGCCCAAGCTGCACACGCCCGATCCGAGAAAAGCGAAAAATCCAAGCACATATACTGTAGTTTCATTTCAATTCACCAAAAACTCAATCCTCCCCGTGAAACCGACGCTAAACCGCAGTTCGCTTCAAAAATTTCCAGTTTAACAGTCACCCTGACATGCGACCGTTGAAAACTAGCTTGGTAACCCACCTCCCTTACAAACTGAGCCTCGCCGGGCACCACACCGTCACTTATCATGAACAAATTGTTTTAGAACCGCGGGTGCCAAGTGGCGGTGTGGTTCCCGGCAAGGCACAGTTTGCAAATAAATTTTTGAACCGAACTGTGGCTTAGCGTCGGTTTCACGGGGAAGATTTAGTTTGTAGTGAAATGAAACTACAGTAGATTTGCTTGGATTCTGGGATAGATTTGTGGCCGCCCGGTCATTTTGAGCTTGAATTTTTCGCTTCTCGTATGGGGCGTTCGGAAATGTAGTGTGCAGCCTTGGGCTTCTCTTATTTACGTAGAAAACCTAGAAATGGACTATTTGGTCAGATAACAAGCGATGCACTGGGGAAGTAAGGTGAGGTATTTGTATTGAGAATTTGATTGTATTTTTTATTCCTAACATCGGTCGTAAATATTGCCATACAAACTCTTATAATTTCGCCCTGACTCTTATTTCGCATGGTGATCATCTCACAGCTGGAGCTTGAGCCGTCTATGTACGGAGTAAAGTATCCATAAACAATACGTACCGAAATTTATCTAAGCTGGGGGGCTTAAAAGCCGCTGTTTAACTAACCGTTAAAGAAACTAACGCAGCGTTCGTGCACCTTTATAGGAACAAATCATAACGGCCTTTTTTTAGAACTATCGAGCCTTAGTCAATGATCCAAATAAATGTTCCACTCAACTTACATTGGACATCTACAACAGCAACAATGGAGGTATCATTTCCAAGGCTGTTGGACGCCACACATCGGTATACTCCGCTGTCTACTCGGCTCGCTTTGGTGATTGCCAACTGCTTTTTGTCTGCTGAAAAGCTGATCCTAAGAGCGTTACTTATGTCAGACCCATCTTTGGTCCATGATAGTGTAGGGAGCGGATATCCAGTAGCATTACAGTGTAACGTAACGTTTTCTCCTTCTGTTTTTGTCACATTACTAGGATGAGTGGTAATCTCACTTTTATCTACAATTGTAGAACAATTGCAATGAACATTAGCAACACTAGCTATAAGTGCCAACATCTTTTTGAATTCGACAATTTAATAGCCGTTAATGTTTATAGCAACCATTGGCTGAAGCAATTGAAATTACCTGCAAGACCAAAATGACTGTTTTCCAGACTTTCGGGCTGACTCTCTACAGAATAAGTTAAAAGAATTCTCTAAATACTTTACTGGGCCCCACTTAAAACCGCCTTGGCTAGTTGGCTTCTTTCATTAAATATTATAAGAGTGATTTAGCAAGAGGACGGGAACGTCATTTCAGAACAAGGAAGCGCGCGGATAGTCTGGACACGACTCTATCTCGACTTCCGGTGTTAGCTTTGCCGTTCTCCCCAACAAGTTCAGGACGTTATTTCGCTGGTTTACCCATCGTAATCAAAACGCCTGGGATTTGCGTATATTTTTTGCGCCTATAAACGAGACAATACTGTTTGGAATTATTTCAGGAATTATTTCAGAAATCATTTCCAGGATAACTTGGTCCCTTCCTTTGGTTTATTCGGTGTATTTTGGGAAAATTTACCGCTCCATTTGTGCTGAATTCTCGAAAGGAAACACAATTGTTGGCATTCGTATTTCTTCATAATCTTGTAAAGTATTATTTGGAATTGAAATCGTCGCCGTTTTTCCCTTGTTTACTGAGTATTCTTCTCAATCATGATAGTACATCTCTTTTGAGCGCCACCCTCTTAGAGTTGCAATGCATTTTTGTTTACAATGAGTTCCCGTTTAGCCGTGAACAAATGAAATGCCCTCAAACTAGTCACCAACGAAACGGTTAGACTGAGGAATAAGACTTCGTTCCTGTTTTATTTTATTTTTTTTTAATTTAATTTTTTAACGAATAAGGTCGTTCAAGACTGAATCAAATTAATAGATTTAGAAAGCCGTGCCGAAATCAAGTTGATTGTTATTCTCTTTCGTAGCGATTGCATGACTTTCTTGTCTTAGTTTTCACCGGCGCTGATCAAAAACTAAAGACATAAAAAAGTGCAAACTCGAGCCGTTCTCAAGTTGTTTTATCTCTGACTTCAATTCGCAAAACACTTTTCAATCACGGTTAAAACGACAATGACAACAAATAACACTGAATAATACAGCAGGTAACCTTTGTGTTATTTCATTTTAATAAACTTCAACATGAAGCAAGTTTAATTTATTGGTGAATTAATTCACGATAAAATTAACAGCACCCAGTCTTAGAGTTTCCATACATGGTTTAAGAAATGTATCAAAGAAAAGCCCTTACGTTGTTTAAAGCCACGCTCAATTACAAAAGGTAACTGAGCCCTAAAATCTTGGATCGCTTGCTAACGATCGTGTTTTTTTTCGAGAATCCAGAATAAATGTAGCAATAAATTTTCACAAATTCACCTAATAAAAAAAAGAAAGAGAACTGGATATCCTGGAAATGAGTTCTGAAATCATTCCAAACAGCATTATCTAGTTTATAAATGCACAATTAACGCAAACCCTAGGCGTTTTGATCACGACGGGAAAACCAGCGAAAGGACGTCCTGAACTCGATGGGGAGAACGGCAATGCTAACACCGGAAGTGGAAATAGAGTCGTGTCCAGATTATCCGCGCGCTTTCCCGTTCTGAAATGACGTTCCCGTCCTCTTGCTAAATCAATCTAATAATACACATCTTAGTGCTATGAATCCTAATGGCACAGTAGGGCGCTAAGCGTAGCCTAGAGGCCATGTCATAAAATTAACCTAATTTTCTAAACAATATCTATCCATACATATACTTTCATAGGTATTGTATCTCTTTAACAATGATTCAATAAAGCTGCTAAAATAAATTAAAAACATTCTAAGAAAAACCCTCTAGAATCCTCTTATAAAATCTAAATACAGGAAAAAATACAAATATTCAATAAGATTTCTCATGGAATTAAAACATAATCTATCAAAGATATGTTGCGAGCAAAGAGAGGAGATCCCAAATATTTAATCTATATAGTCAGTGATTATATGTTCAATTTTCCTCTCTAATTTGGTGGCGCCACTTATACATAAGTCTTGATTAGTTGAAATAACAGATTTCTGCATCTTTTGGAGCGCCATATTTCCTCTGCTTCCGAACATCTCGTCTATCGTCTCCAGGAGCTCTTTAGACCATCCTCCGAGAACATCCCACACAACCCACAATTCCTCCAATCGCTCTGACGAAGGGCTAATGCTCGAAACACCAGCTTTTTTACTCTTTTCGGTGGCCAATTTACGTTTTCAACTCAATTGTTAACCATCTTTAGATTTTTTCGTCAAAAAATGTCGCCACGATGCTACTTCGCATCTTAAGATTTTTTCATCAAAAAATGTCGCCACGATATCAACAAACTTAAAATCAATCGTAACACCAAATTTTCCAATCTTCCTTCGGAAGAGTGGTCGGCAATAAAAACTCCAAGAAACGCAGAGAAATAGTCATTTAAGCGGCCGACAAAGGCGGCGCAGTTGTTGTTGGCGGGCCGACCTCTACCAAAAAGAAGCTTTGCGGCAACTTTCCGACACCTCCTTTTATGCTAAAGTCGACAAAGACCTCACTTTAATTAACCAAAACATTGTCAAAAATACGATTAACTATCTTATAGCTAAACAAGAATTACCAGCCACTGCTAAAAATCTCACCATCACCACTGCCAGAACTTCGTGTATTTACTTTTTATCTAAATCCACAAACCTAAAAACTCAGGACGACACATCGCTTCTTCCTACAGTTGCCCCACCGAACTTATTTCCAGCAATTTAGACAAAATTATGACACCTATCGTCAAACTTTACCATCTTACATGAAGGACAGCCAACACCCACTTAAAATTTTTCGTGACTTTAGTTTCCTTGGCCAAAACAAACTTATTCTCTCTATGGATATTACATCTCTTTATATTGTCATTCCCAATGACGAAGGTCTCCGGGCCCTCAAACATTTTTTTGATCATCGCACTGTTAAGGAACCCAGCTCTGAAGCACTACTCCGTTTGGCCAAACTAGTACTCACACTCAATCGCTTTTCATTCGTTCGTAACTACTACAAACAAACTAATGGCGTGGCCATGGGTACTAAAATGGGACCCAGTTACGCCAATCTTTTCGTAGGTTTTATTGAACATCAACTTTTTAGTCAATACCACGGCCTAAAACCTGAACTCTACGGCCGTTACATTGACGATTGCATCGGCGCTACCTCCTTTGCCAGAGACGAGCTCACTCAATTTATAACCGCCGTCAATTCCTTTCATCCGGCTCTTAAATATACCTGGGAAATTTCCTTTAATGTCTAGAAATTTTCTAGACATTAAAATATCAATTGAAGGCAACGGTTTATGCACTAATGTTTACTACAGTCGGGGGCAACAAGCAAGATGGAAACCACTTGTACACGGTGTTCAGACACGTAATTGGTCTTTGGTTGTCGCTCGTATAGTTGCCAGGCATTGGCACCAAGATGGTTCTCCCCTCTGAAAACCACTGAGGGAGGTCGTGAGACCCTTCATTGATTGCTTGGAAAGCTTTTTCCATATCTTTGTGCACCACAGTCGACTTTTTCCACCAGTAGTTGACAATTTTATCGAGGCCTGGAACACCCCAGTTTTTCTTATTTTCCAGGGCCTTTTCTACAGCCTCTGCGTCCAACCTACAATCCCTTTCAGATGAAGAGGGAACATTTCTGGCAAATGCTGATGAAATCTCTTGTAACCACTCAGCATTAGCGTTTCCTTGACCTTCTTTCTCCCATAGATTTATCCAAAAGGAGTTTGCTTCATCGATATCGTTGAGCTGACATTTCTCATTGGCCTCATTGTCTTGATGTACCACTTCGAAGGTAGGTAGATCGTCCTTTGAGTCGGACTTTGCCATTTCATCCAGCTCTGAGTAAATCAGTCCAGGGTCACACTGAAATCGACGATTTACTTTACGCGATTCATCCTGCTTTTATTGGCGGCAAAATACTTTTAGGGTAGATTTCTTCTTTTCCATGAAGTTGATCAGGGACACTGCTGAAATGATCTTGCACTCTTTTTCAAGAAGCCTTATGTTAATTTCCCTCTCTTGGTTATTATTATTATTATTTTTATTATTATTATTATTTTTATTATTATTATTTTTATTATTATTATTATTATTTTTATTATTATTATTTTTTAATTATTATTATTATTATTATTATTATATTATTTTTTTTATTATTATTATTTTTATTATTATTATTATTTTTATTATTATTATTATTATTATTATTTTTATTTTTTTTTTTTTATTATTATTATTATTTTTATTATTAATACTTACATTCTACAACTAATGTAGCAGCATCTGAGCTGGCATTACCAATGCGATTGTTAGCCACACAATGGTATTTTCCACTGTCTGTTCTGTACACATTTATTATCGTCAGCTCGTTACTCTCTGCTGAATAGCTTTTCCTGGAATTACTGCCAATAGAATATCCATCTTTTTTCCATGATATTGCTGGTAATGGATTTCCAGTCGCGTTGCAATATAAGGTCCTGTTTTTTCCTTCCTTTACCTTGTCATCAGAAGGATCAGTGATAATTTCCAGTTCATCTGAAGCGAAATAGATAGACGGATATGAATTCTATCCTAGCGCTTTATCTATTCAGTATCTCGGTATACAAATGGTACTTGGTTAATTATTCTGAAAAATGTTCACTTTTTCGAGAAAAAAAACCCACTTGAAAGCAGACCCGTGTACGCTAATTATAAAGAAACAGGACAATATGTTAAAGTTTGATCTTAGCTTTGCTGCCAGTAAATAATTCTTCGTACAGTGCTCAGTTACATTGAACATTTAATATGGCAATTTTCGAGGAAGCGTTCCCAACTTTATTATGAGCGACACACAGGTACTTCCGCTATCTGATCTTTTCACATTCGTTATCGTCAACAGCTTGTTGCCTGCTAAAAAGCTGACCCTGTTGCTGCTCGCGAGGTTTCCATCTTTCGACCAAGAAAGCAATGGCTCTGGATTTCCAGTAACATTACAAGTTAATGTCACATTTCTTCCTTCTGTTGTTGTGTCATTCTGCGGTTGAGTAGCTATCTCAGGTCGATCTACAAATTTTCAAAAACCCACTTATACCTAATTCAAACCAAAGCGGAAACATGGTTTAAAGCTGTTTGTTGAACACATGTTTAAATTGTTTACTTCCGAGAAACTGCTCAAACCGACTTTTGTCCACTTCAAATTAAGCACATCGGAAATACCAGTGACGACTTGAAACCTAAGGAAAAATGTGTCTTTTAGTCCTCTGTGTCATAATTTCATTAAGTTAAACTCAGTTTGCTTAAATATGTTTTGCCGGTGTGAATAGATATTAATTAGACTATGCATTGTGGAGTTGAACAAATCAGCGAGACAAACGACTCATCTAAATAAAGAGGAACGTTTTCGTGCGCAATCCGGTACTTACAATTCAATTACCGTTTGGTCTCCATTTAAGCTAGGGAAAAATGAAGTGTCTGCTTCGCTATCACTTAGCAAATTTCTATCCCTACCTTTCCCAAAGGAATAAACGTAAAAATACAAATAAATATTTTTTTAAGAAAAATCACGGTTGGTAATCTCTGACTGGGTTTTAAAGCAAACAGTTTATATGCCTGTAATATTTCAAGAAATGGCAAAGCTGAAACGTATCTTAAGCAGCAAAGGGGGACATGCAGGATACTGAAAATGTTCAAAGAAAAAATGTAAACAAGGCTTGTGACTTGCAAGGCTTCCTAAAACAGACAGTTCGGAAAGTTCAAAAAATGGCACGAACTGATGAAACAACCTGTATGCGCACTTTACAATTAATAGCCTTGTCTCACCTCTGCTAGCAGTACATAACTGTATGGATAGCGCTTTACTTACATTATTTTACATTTAATATGACAATTATCGAGGTATCGTTACCAACTTCATTATGGGCGACACACAGGTATCCTCCGATGTCGTTTCTGTTCACATCTGTTATTGTCAGGAGCGAGTTGTTTGCTGACAAATAAATCCTGTCGTTGCTTTCCACGAGATCTTTATCTTTAAACCATGACAACTGTGGCACTGGATTTCCGGTAGCATTACAAGTTAAGGTCACATTATTTCTTCCTGTTTCCGTAACATTCTGAGGATGTTTTGTTATCTCAGGGCGATCTGGAATGTACAAACAAACTCTCTTAGCAAGCCTATGCACATAGATTGTTTTCACAATTATGTTTCTATACAACAGGTTGTGATCAAATTCTCGAACAAACATTTTTGCGTATGTCTTGAACAAGTGTTCAGTACAGTTTTTGCAAGATGATGAAGATAAAATGGAGTTATCAAACGTGTTTTACATGAAGAAATTTATTTCTTTTGTGGTTATTACTGTTGATATTCATTATCGTCAAAACTTTATTGACTACTGATAAACTAATCCTCGAATTATTAGTTAAAGGCGATTCATTTTTAGTCCATGATGTTGTCGGCAATGGGTTTGCAGTAGAATTACAAGAGAAGGTCACGTTGCCTCCTTCTTTTATATCCCCACTTTTAGGATGTCTGGTAATCTAACTTTTAACTACAATTGTAAAACAATTGCAATGAACATTTGCAACACTAGCTATAGGCGCCAACATCTTTTTGAACTCGAAAATTCAGTGGTCGTTAATGTTTACGGCAGACATGACTGAACAAATTGAAATGACTTGCAAGACCAAAATGACTGTTTTCCAGAATTTCGGGCTGACTTTCTACCGAATGAGGTAGAAGAATTCTCTAAATACTTTACTTGGCCCCACTTAAAACCACCTTGGCGAGTTGGCTTCCTTCATTAAATATTATTATTATCATAATTATTATTGTTAATACTTACATTCTACAACTAATGTAGCAGCATATGAGCTGGCATTACCAATGCGATTGTTAGCCACACAATGGCATTTTCCACTGTCTGTTCTGTACACATTTATTAGCGTCAGCTCATTACTCTCTGCTGAATAACTTATCCTGGAATTACTGCCAATAGAATATTCATCTTTTTTCCATGATATTGCAGGTAATGGATTTCCAGTCGCGTTGCAATGTAAGGTCCTGCTTTTTCCTTCCTTTACCTTGTCATCAGAAGGATCAGTGATAATTTCCGGTTCATCTGAAACGAAATTGGTAGACGGATAGGAATTCTATCCTAGCGCTTTATCTACTCAGTATCTCAGTATACAAATGGTACTTAGTTAATTATTCTGAAAAGTGTTCACTTTTTGGAAAAAAAAAACCCACTTGAAAGCAGACCCGTGTACGCTGATTATAAAGAATAAGGACAATATATTAAAGTTTGATCTTAGCTCTGCTGCCAGTAAATAATTCTTCGTACAGTGCTCACTTACATTGAATATTTAATAAGGCAATTTTCAAGGAAGCGTTCCCAACTTCATTAAGAGCGACACACAAGTATTTTCCGCTACTTGTTCTGTACACATTCGTTATCTTCAACAGCTTGCTGTCTGCTGGAAAGCTGATCCTGCGGCTGCTTTTCACGAGATTTTTATCTTTGAACCATGAAAGCACTGGCTCTGGATTTCCAGTAGCATTACAAGTTAATGTCACATTTCTTCCTTCTGTTGTTGTGTCATTCTGCGGTTGAGTAGCTATCTCAGGTCGATCTACAATGTACAAAAAACCCACTTATACCTAATTCAAACCAAAGCGGAAACATGTTTTAAAGCTATTTTGTTTAACACGGGTTTAAATTGTTTACTTCCGAGAAGCTGCTTAAGCCGATTTTTGTCGACCTCAAATTAAGCACATTAAAAATACAAGTTTGTGACGACTTGAAACCTATGGAAATTATGTTTTTTTTAAGCCCTTTGTACCCTAATATCATTCAGTTGAACTCAGTTTACTTAAATATGTTTTGCTGGTGTGAATGGATATTAACCAGACAATGCGCTTTAGAAACAACTCAGCGAGACAAATGACTCATCTGAATAAAGGGAAACGTTTCCGTGCGCAATCTGGGACTTACCAATTCGATTACTGTTCTCTCTAAATTTATGCTAGCGAAAACTGAAGTGTAATGAACGTAAAAATACAAACAAATCATTATTTAGGAAAAATCCCTTTTGGTAATCTCTGACTGGTTTTGAAGCGAACAGTACATATGCTTGTAATATTTCAAAAAATGGAAAAAAATGAAACGGAGATTCAGCAGCAAAGGGGGATATGTGGGATACTGAAGATGTCCATAGGAAAAATGTAAACATGGCTTGTGATTTGCAAGGCTTCATAAAACAGACAGTTAGGAAAGTTCAAAAAAGGGCACGAACTTATGAAACAACCTGTATGCGCACTTCACAATTAAAAGCCTTGTCTCACTTCTGCTAAAAGCACATAATTCTATGGATAGTGCTTTACTTACATTGTACATCTAATACCACAATTTTCGAGGAATCGTTTCCAACTTCTTTATGGGCGACACACAGGTATCCTCCGCTGCCGTTTCTGTTCACATCTGTTATTGTCAGGAGCGAGTTGTTCGCTGACAAATAAATCCTGTTAGTGCTTTCCACGAGATCCTTATCTTTAAACCACGAAACCTGTGGCTCTGGATTTCCGGTAGCATTACAAGTTAAGGTCACATTATTTATTTCTGTTTCCGTAACATTCTGCGGTTGTTTTGTTATCTCAGGGCGATCTGAGTTGTACAAACAAACACAATAAGCAGAGCTTTGCATAGAAATTGTTTTTTACAATCATGTTACTATACAACAGGTTGTGGTAAAATTTTTTGAACAAACATTTTTTGCGTATATCTTGAAAAAGTGCTCAGTACAGTTTTGGCAAGATGATGGAGATATTACGGAGTTATCAAACGTGTTTTACAGGAAGAAATCTCTTTCTTTAGTAGTTATTTCTAATAGCTTTCATCTAAGATGTGCTCACTTCCAAATCTTTTAACCATCTAACTCCCAGATCAAACTTGTAATTGTCTTTAATGTCAACCATAAAATTCTTATAATGTTACTTCAGAGAATTTAGTATTGGATCTAATAGTTATTCCCTAATCGCTATTTTTCTTTATTCTCATTACTTGTCTGCTTAATATTGCATTGACACTGTAAGGAGAAATCCCTCTTGGTCACTTATGGGAGTTAAAGGGTTAAAGCCTATTCCCGACCACCTTATTACGGCCATTCATGGGAGAGTTTGTTCTCAGACTAAATTATTTCCTATGCGCATTTCGTAATCGTTTTCGAGGACTCAAAAAAGAAGATTTCAAAATATCCATTTCCCCGCAAACGTTACTTAAAGGTATTTTCTGCGAAAGACACTTTGCGTATTAAAATACTCTGTTCTGTTTGTAAGTGGTACCTTAAAGGAAAATCAAATGCACTCACATTTCATATTTAATTCAGCAGCTTTTGATGAATCGTTTCCAAGTTTGTTGCTCGCCACACATCTATATTCTCCACTGTCATTTCTGTTCACATTCGTTATTGTCAAAACTTTATTGACAACTGAAAAACTGATCCTCGAATCGTTTGTTATAGCCGATTCATCTTTAGTCCATGATGTTGTCGGTAATGGATTTGCAGTAGAATTACAAGAAAAGGTCACGTTTCCTCCTTCTTTTATATCCACACTTTTAGGATGAGAAGTAATCTCAGGTTTATCTGCAATTTTGAAATTAATCTTGTTAGCAAAGGGCAACTGATAAACAAAACGTCTGCATAGAAATGCATGCATGACTGTACTTTCGTTTTATGCTGTAAAAAAGGGCATATAATGGAAGGTGTACTGCAGAGGGTAGGAGCAAATGCCATTCAAAGGTCATGTTTAGTAGACAATAATTATAACAAAAGTTGACGGAAACAAAAAGAGGGTGAATTGGAGAAACAAGCGTGAAAGCTGCCGTCAGTCGACGCCGAGTATCAAAACGCTACTCATACCCTGGTTAAGAGAAAGAGTATTCATACCAGTATAGAAGTTAGATGAGAACTTACATTGGATGTCAACAGCAGCAACGTTTGAGGTATTATATCCCAGGCTGTTGTTCGCTATACATCGGTAGTGGCCGCTGTCTGTTCTTTTCACATTTGATATGATCAATTGCCTGTTATCTATTGAAAACCTGATCCTGGAATTGTTGTTTAAGGGAGATCCATCTTTGGTCCACAGTATCATCGGTGCTGGGTTTCCAGCGGCATTACAAAATAAAGTCAAATTACTTCCCTCTTCTTTTGTGACATTCGCTTGAGGATGAGAGACGATATCAGCTGGAACTGCAATTTCCGAAAAATGTTACTTTGCATAGGACTAACAAGAACAAATAAATATGGCATGATAACAAATTACGTTGTGCGACCACTTGGCTCGCGGTTTGCTTTTCAGCGTAATTTTTGCTGCACGGACAGGCTGTCAGACAACTGACTGATTATTCCTCAATCTTTCGGTTCAAGGACATAAGTGGTGCTACAAAAGGAAGCTCTTTATCGAGAAAGGCTACATGACGTCAGATAATAATATGCTCAACTAGATATTAGTTGTACTGTGTACATGAAACGGTTCCAATTTAGAATATATGTCGCGATATAGCTTACAAACAAATTATCCATGTGACGACATGACTGAAGTTGCCTACCTCAAGGCACCTTTAGAAAGACACGTCAATTGTGAGAAACTCCTCATGAAAAACGAAACGTCCATTTTCAAGCTCAAAACAAAGATAATGGTAATACCATAGATATTGGAAACGAAATTACAGATCCGCAACATTTTCACATTGAGGCAAACTACAATTTCCAAAGAGAACATACAGAAGAGAATTTTCATGAGCTCAACCATGACCACTACGATTTACAAAGCAAAAATACAGATGAAAATTTTCATGAGCCTCAGAGTGTCCCCTGCGATTTACCAAGCGAAAACACAGACGAGAATTTTTATGAGTTTAACAATGTCCACTGCGATTTACAAGGACAAAATGCAAAAGGAAATTTTCATGAGCTTAGCAATGAATCAGGACATGTCTGCTGCCAAATCAATGAAATTTTACACGAGGAGAAAATTTCTGACAATGACAACGAGGTGGACAACAGTTATTTGAATCAAAATGCTACCGAAACACTTTTAGGAGAGAATACAGTTCACTTTGGGCCAACATTGGCCTACGACAAAAATTATGCAATTACCGAAGTTTTACAAGGGGACTCATTACGTTTCAGTGAAAAATTATCAAGTGGACAGTTTTTAAAAGCTGACAGCGAAGAAACCAATGTGACTCCTCACAAAGGGAATTTCCAAATTACTCGCAAAGACGATAATGATTTTCAACTAACTCAGTTTGCAACCAGTGCCCACCAGGGGAATGGGGAAAATTCGGCAGATATGTCTAACCTTGATCAAGTAAGGCAAGAGTCCGTCACGCCCCCTATATCTACTCAGTTAGGCGACCAGTTTCCGGCGGATTTTCCACCCACAGAGCGCTTTTTAGGTTCCGCGGACATACTGGTTTCTTGTACGCCAACTTTGGCAGAATCCCACAGCGCTGGTGAGAATAACGAACAACACAGTTCACACATCAATGCAATGGATTCCAAGGTAAGGTTACCCTCTGCTAGCCTTTCTATTACTGGTTCTATACAAGATCATGAAACCTCGATGTTGATTGACACTGGTGCTTCGGTTACTGCAGTTAGTAACGCTTTCCTTTCCACCTTGCCTACGCCTCCAACATTACAATCGTCACTCTTACCCTCAGTGCGCACAGTAAGTGGTGAGCAACTCCCAGTCCGGGGCCAAGCCACCCTTACTTTCTTGATTGGAGATCGCACCTACATCTCTAATACCCTTGTTATTGCCAACCTCTCTTATCCCGTCGTTCTCGGAAGAGATTTTCTTACACAGTGTAGCTCTGTTATTGACCTCAAGGAACATACCTTGATCCTTGGAGCTTGCAATGTAGTACCCTTACAATCTTCCTTTCCTATCACCAGTTCTAACACTGAAGAACCGATCTCAGTACATGCCTGTGCCACATATATCCCACCACCTCTTTCCGAATCCTGTTTCCCCCAAGTCTTCTCTACCTGTAGGCAAAACTGGCCTCATTGAGCATAATCCCAAATTGGCTGAGAGGTATCACGTTTGTGGAGCATCTCAGCTCGTCAACTATGGGAATTTTTACGCCTTCAGCAGGTTCTATGTCTGTCATCGACATCGTTGAAGCTTCTGTTACGCCCACTCCTCCTTCAGAGGATGATGAAACAGTGCTTTTAGACCTCACTTCCTCTACTCTTGACGGACCCCAATTAACCCAGCTAACGGCCTTAATCGCAGAATACCGTGATATTTTTGCCTTAAAACCGGAGGAGCTCGGCCGCACTGGTTTAGTCCAACATCGCATTGATACAGGCGATCATCCTCCAGTACGTCAACGCCCTTATCGCGTCTCTGACACCCAACGCGGAATTATTGAAGAACATGTGGATGACATGTTAAATAGGGGCATAATCCAGCCCAGTACCAGCCCCTGGGCTTCTCCCATTATTCTGGTGAAAAAGAAAGATGGTACGTTTCGTTGTAGACTTTAGGCGTTTAAATGCTGTTACAAGAAAGGACTCCTTCCCATTGCCGAGGTCTTTTCTTGGTTTGGCTAACTATTATCGTCGTTTCATTAAGGATTTCTCCAAAATTGCAGCTCCTTTGAATAAGTTATTACGCAAAGATCAAAAGTTCGTTTGGACGGACATTTGCGAACAGGCTTTCGAGACTCTAAAGGCTGCCCTTGTGTGTGCCCCTACACTAGCCTTTCCAGATTTCAAAGAGACCTTTCAACTCTTTATCGATGCTTCTAACGAAGGTATAGGCGCTACATTAGGTCAAATTCAGGATGGCAAGGAAGTCGCAATAGCATAGGCGGGTAGAGATTTTAATGCTGCTGAACGAAATTATAGTGCAACAGAAAGAGAAGCATTAGCTGTGGTCTTTGGGATAAAGAAGTTTGAGCCATACCTGTATGGCCGCAAATTCATTTTGCACACCGATCACCATTCCTTATAATGGTTAATGTCCATATCTGACCCGACAGGCAAGTTAGCTCGATGGTCTCTCCTCCTTCAGCAGTATGATTTCGAAATCAAACACCGTCCAGGCACAGCCAATGCGAATGCGGACGCACTCTCTCGCCGACCATATACCATTTCTTCGCCATCCGTTTAAGCTCTTGACACCCCAGGCGTTCAAATCTCTCGAGTGCACGAACTACAGCGGAATGATCCCGATCTGTCAGACCTGATTGTCTACCTGGAAATTCTCGTGTGGGCTCATGATGACCTTACAGGTGGACATTTTGGCACAGTTAAGACTTATGAGAAACTGCGCACACGCTACTACTGGCGAAAAATGTTTTCGGATGTGAACCACTGGTGTCGCAGTTGTTGCGATTGTGCAATGAGGAAAAGCCCCAGGAACAGGCATAAAGCTCCCCTGTTACCCATACCGGTTCAGGATGCCTTTGATCGTCTAGCTTGTGACATCATTGGACCGTTCCCACCTTCCAAATTAGGAAACAGGTATGTTGTGGTTTTTTCTGAGTACTTAACCAAATGGGTGGAAGCGTTCCCTGTTCCTTCTATTGAGGCTCCTGTTATAGCCCGTTTGCCGGTAGATGAAATTTTCACTCGCCATGGCGCCCCACGAACTCTTTTGTCCGATCGTGGAAGCAATTTCCTCTCCCCCCTCGTAACAGAAGTGTGTCGTCTGCTTAACACCAAAAAGGTAAACACTACGGCTTATCATCCTCAGACGGATGGACTTGTAGAACGTTTCAACAATACACTTGCTGAAGCTATTTCCTCATATGTCAGTTGACACCAACTGGACTGGGATGTCTATATCCCTGCCATTTTATTCGCCTATCGCACATCTCCGTGTGTATCCATAGGGGATACCCCTTTCTATCTATTGCGAGGATTAAGCAAGAAGCTCCTACCTAAATGGAACGGACCTTTTCGCATCTGCCGAAAACTTTCACCGGTACATTACCAAGTTCGCACATGTGACAATCGCCTAGTGGCCACCACAGTCCATGCCAACCGTTTGAAACATTTTTATGACCCTGGGGACCGCCCAATTTTACCTCCTAAAGAGGATGATCCTGACGATTTACCTTTTGATACCTCAGTGCTACCTGTACCCGCAGACAGTTTTGAGCCAGCAGGCCCTACATCTACTAACAACGCTAATGCTGTATCTGACACAGATGTAAGTACGACTGTTAACTCAACTCCTGTTGATTCTCCAGATCCTTTTAACGAACCGGATGTCTACCATGGCGAAAAGATTATCAAGTCCCGCAGACGAAATGGTCAGGTACAATATCTGGTTAAGTGGGCCAACTACCCATCCTCCGAAAATACATGGGAACCCGAAGAAAACATTTTGGATTCCCGACTTTTGGACGAGTTCAACAAAAAGTCTAAGTAGAACTGTACTAATACTACTAGTTCCGTTATTCACCTTATCGTTTGTAGCTGTACATGCACAGGAAGATCGAAACTCCTTTTTCACCGACTATGATCTTAATGGTAAGCGGGTGACCTATTACCCTGAATCGCTCATGATTTCACACAATCCACACCCAGTCGTGTTCTATAAAAATACCAAACTGTTTAACCTATTCGTTGATTTGCGAGCACCAGATATGGGCACCAAATTCACCATTAATAACACTTGCGTCGAGGACACTTCAAAATTTTTTAACCAATTATTAGAACAGATATATAACTCTCAAAGGGCTAGGTAACGACTTATGTCCATGCATAGCTATACCTCACTGATCGAATGCGATTCTTATTTGCGCAGATACTACCACTATTCCACCGGGTTTAGTTCGACAATGAATTGTCCCTATGCATATAAAACATCACTGAACGAATGCAAACTGTGGGCTCTGAAGCAATGTGACAACATAAGCGCGAAGGAACGCCGATGGTTGCTGGAAACGCAGCAAAATCGCAAAAGAGGGTCTAGGCGAAGACGAACGACGCCTTGGGCTTGTTCGGCTGGTGTTTTAGGAATTCCACGGTTTTTTCTATACCAAAGTCCTAGGAAGATCTTGTGAAAAGAATAATGTTTTGAGTCTTATTCAGACGTTTACGGCATCACTTAGGGCCACGCAAACCATGGGTTATCTGATACGAACGGTTAATGGCAAAACTGTATATCTCGCCAAAGTTACCGACCGATTGGTTATCAAGGTTAACCAACTTCAATCTGCTCTTCGCCAGATTGACTCGACTTTCTCCGATTGGCAAACTCAGCTAAAATTGTTCGCTAAGCACGAGAATTGTCATTTTAACAATTTCATGGAACGTTTTTCGAAGTTTTCTTTAGAGGTTACCCGAACTTTTTCGCAACAACTCCGTTTCACAGAAATTAATGATATTTTACATCAGGCACATAAATTACATAACAAACAATTAGTCGGGTTTAACGAATTACCCTAGTCTGTGGCTGCCGCTCTACAGCACAGACTAGAAACAATACCATCCTTACAGGATACTATTACGGCATTGAGCGCGGGATACCCCCTCTTAATACAACCTTTCGTAGATTACCAATACCACATGGGGAAGTCAGTTGGGATTAATTTTCTTTTTACCATATTAGAACTAACTTCGGACAACAGTCTTTACACAATTGAGTACTTAATGCCACTCAAATACAACCTTTCAGGCATTTGTTTCCAAGGTCCAGTTATTCGAGATGAATTAGCATTACTTCGATGCCAACATACCGAATATATCTTATATCGTTCCCTTTTGGGTAAATGTTATCGAACCGATGAAACCTTTATTTGCCCTCAACACCTTTTACAACTGGTCAATGACACTAGTTGGTTGGGCCTTCCCTGGCACAGAGACACTCAATTTAATTTCGTTCGCCGCCACCAAAAGGCACCCGATTGCTCAAATATCAACGAATTGTTTCATTAAGGAGGACGTTATTACTTATCTACACAGCATGGTTCAATTAACGTTTACAACACCACCAACGGTTCTTCTCACATTCTACATATTTCTCCTCTTGTCGTTTATCATTTTCCCTGTGATCTCACATTCGCCTCTCAGCAAACCGGTCTGGGAACTTGTCCGGACTGCATCACCTTTCATCTACCACTTTTCTCTCATAAATCATTTCGCTACATTCCGTGGACACATAACGACGACAAAACTTTGCGATTACATTACAGCTCATTGAATCTGACCCCGCCGCTTCAATTCGACAACAAAACAATGACTTCTTTAGACCACACTTTTCGTATACTAGATGGGCAACTTACTACCCGGTTAGCAACGTTAAAACGAGATATCCCACCTACACGAGGTTCAATCAACCACCACATAGTTTTGTTTTCATAATTCTATAGTTCTATTCTATAGTTTCTATTCTATTCTATAGTTTTCATAATTGTTTTCATAATTCTATACTGTCGTTCCATTAGGCCAAAATCCTTTCCATCGATGTCAACCTCTGTTTTGTTTCGACGCAAACGCGCCCCCGCGCAACGTAACGACACGGCTACAGCTAACGCTGACGACCATGAATTACACGACTTACAACCAGCCACTTCACAAAATCAAAATTCGGTGTGTCCTACTTGTAACAAGCCGGTTCCGCTATAAGAATATTCATATCTTTTTTTTAATTGTTCACGCTGATGTGTATATTTCAAAGGCTGCTATCGCTATGTATGCTCATTGTTCAAACCGTTCTCACTTCGAAGTGATTCGTCTTCCATTCGCCAAATGACTCAACCAATGTTGTTCTTTCGCTTGTGTTTATTTTTTTTCACTTGTGTTTATTTTTCGCGCAAATCAAATTTTCAACGTCTTCTCTTTCACTGACCTTCAGTCCAACGTATTGCGTAGTTTTTCCAACGAATTCTTTTCAACTGTGTGCTATTCCTTAGTTTATATCCATCCAAATATTTCATTTGCAATTATGCCACCAACTACATCAATTTTCGCTTCGCCTTTCTCTTCTTGTCTGTTCCAGATTTTCACGCCATGGATTTCGACCTCTCCCGTCGCATCTCTCAATTGGCGGAGTCGTCAGAGAGAACTCATTTCGTTTGTATTCCTTCATATGGTTTTTCTCGCCCAGTTTCACCCTTTTTACTTTCAATTTCTAGTGATTTTTATGAGGCATATTTGGCACGCCATGATAACCAGTATACTGTTTCCCTATGTCAACATTGCCAAACTGAACATACTTCACAACAATTTTGTCTCCCCGCAACTTTTACTTCTTTAGAAGTCGATTTCATTTTAGATTTTCTGGAACAAACTCCTCAGACTGTTTTTGCCCCTCGTTTGTTTTTTTCAGTTATTCGCCTCTGCGATTATCTCCTTTTTCCGACACATGTCATTTTTGATTTAATGCAAATTTATATCCCTCGCCATATGCGCATTCGCTCCCCCTTCACAGAGAATTTACTCGAGCTTTTACGCAAAAGCAGTTACGCCGTTTTGGCTCAATCTTTTGCCGCTACCTATTTTTCTTGATTACGTATCCTTTTTTGTTCCTGGTCATGTACAGTTACCCTCATGCACCGGTTTAAATCTATTTACATAATTAGTACTTATTTCTTTCTTAGTTCGTTGAGCACCAATTGAGCGGTGAAGTTAACTGCTCGTGGCTATATTGGTTTTGCCTATTCACTTGAGCGGTGAAGTTTACTGCTCGTGAACAACTAGGTCCAACTAACGGCTCAACGACCGCATAATTTTTTTTTATTTACCCCTTCAGCGAACCACACCAGTTTTTACAGGTATTTAAAAAAAACAAAAAACAAACAAAAAAAAACAAAAAAAACAAAAAAAAACAAAGAAAAAGGGCTTATTTACTCCCCGTATTTTGTCACAACGGTATTTTGGTGTTTTATGTTAGCAACCTTAACGATATATCCGCTTAAGAATGTATCCACTTATCTAACCGCATATTCATAACTCTTTTGGGAGCTGGGGACAGCTCCGTCTAAGTAGGGAGAATTTGTTAAATGATAAAATTACAATTATAGTTAATCTACAATATCGTAAGGGTTTCCTGTATTGGTATTGGAAAGAAAAGGGGTGGAAATATTATTTTATTCTAATTCATTTAATGTAAATTATAAAAAGGGCAGGTTGATTACTTCGTACTCCTTCTTGGTGGTCTTATCTTAAAGGTCGAGTTTGATCACGTTCTTCTTGTGAGTTTGGCCACGTTCTCCTAGTGAGTTTAATCACGTTTTCTTCGTTGTGATCGTGAGGTTGACATGGAACTCGTGATACGCCATGTTCTTAAATAAGTTAATTTGTAAGTCCAGGAAGAGTAAATCTCCCAGGTAATAGGTCGCGTTCGACACCTTCGTGTTCCCAGAGGTAATTTAAGGGTAAACAGGTGATGCCCCTCATGTTTCGCAACAAGAAGCAATTTGGGGGCGGTACTTGTGAGCGCCTTTCTTCTTTAACTCTTGTGACCAAGATGATGTTATGTAACAATCTTTAAAGGTGATTTTCTCTTAAGATACACTTTCAGGTATAAATAATACTCTACACCAAGGTTATTTGTAATTTTTATATTGTTGATCTCGTTTCTGTTCTGGCCGATCTCAACCGTAAAGATATGAAAATCAGGGAAGAAATTGATTTTGTAACTGCGTAGACAACCCTAAGGTGCTTACTCAGTATGTGGGAACTATAATACGTAGTCAAGCGTGATTCGCTAGTTGAGATGGTACGATGACGACACAAGAAGATTGACGGCTTAGAAATGTCATCCGCAGTGTCACCTTTATAAGCGGAGACTCTAGTTTTCCCTGATATATTGAGGCTAGTCCCCATTGTAACAACTTGAGAAGAAAAGTAAATAAAGAAGGATCAACCAAACCACAAACGAGTGTTAGAGAAATTAATTCTAACAAAATACAGTATTATCATTAAAAAAGTTATTTAAAAAAATAATACAAATTTCCATGTTCATGTAATAGTAATCTCTTTCCAAACGTATTTAACAGTTCTCACCTTGTCCGTTGTATAATTTACTGATCGTGATAATTAAAATATATATAATACGTGTTGCTCTGACCAAAACAAGAGAAAACGAATTTGGAGAGCTGACTAATAGTTAATAAATTCGTTAGATATTGCGTTTTGGTGCAGGAATTGTACAATGACTACATTACGTTTTCTATACATTCGTGTGGTAATCTCAAGATACACAGCACCAAAAAATAACATACAGTGTACTACGTTATGGATTTGGAAGATGACAGTAGAAGACCTGGAAATAAAGAGTGTACGACACTCACAAAGAACATCCACTCTGGAATTTGAGGTATCATTTCCAACTCTGTTTCTCGCCACACATTGGTATTCACCGCTATCCGTTCTGCAAATATTCGTTATTGTCAATCGCTTATTGTCTTTAGAAAGGCCGATCCTAGATTTGCTGTTTATGGGAGATCCATCTTTGACCCAGGATATTGATGGTTCTGGATTTCCGGTGGCGTTACAGGACAGAGTTATCTTTTCTCCCTCTCTGAGAATTTTCCCTTCTGGACGGGTGGTGATTAGGGGCAGCTCTGTGTGAAAAAGAAGCAAGAGTTACTTAATTTGATATTTAACGTTCCCTCTAATTGTGACATTTGTATTTTCAATCAAGGTACTAACTTGAAACAGGATACGCCAGCAGCTCTAACTTGAAATGGTTCACTGAATAGAACAAACACAAGAGTTTCATTCGTAATTATGGGAGAGTTGCTTTATCCCAAACAAGAAAGCTCCTGATTAACCTGAGACAAAAAGGAGCAGATTGGATTTTTCTGAAACAGTACTCTTGGTGCTCTACGTGAATGATTAGGTCTTCGCCTGTGATTAAGTATTTTTTGGCATTGGACGGACTAGTTCCATCCCGGAGTTCTTTAAACAGCTGAAGATTTTGAATTATTAATTTTCTGATTGTGGATTGCATTGATTCTGTTGTAACGTCGCATGGTCCTCATTCCCTTCCGTTCTTCTCTGAAATGAAAATGCAAACCCGCTTCTCCGATAAGTAAATCATGGCGAGGGAATTTTAAAGTAGCCCCTCTAGAACCTCATGAGAGCGCTTACGGTAAATGAGATTCCCACTGTTCCACCAATTTGAATTGCCCATGGCCAAACAAAAAAGACAAACGTAGTTGTAAAGTGCTTTGTAGCATACAGTACCTTGGCTTATGACTGACGTCCTCTGGGATGAGTTACCAACAGCATTAATAACAAGGCAGGAGTAGTTTCCAGCATCCTGGGAGGTACTTTGACTTATAAGTAACTGTATTTGACTTTCATTGTGATGTGGAACAGAGATGCAAGACTCGTTAACCAGCAGACTAGAATTTCTAGCAATCACATCTCCATCTTTTATCCACTGCACTTCAGACACGGGTGGCACAGCATCGTACTCGCATAAGAGTTTCTTTATTTTACCGACAATTGCAAATTGTTGTGGACCACCAATCATTGTGACTCCTGGTATATCTACATTTGCAAAACGAAGCATAAATTGCATATTTAATGATATCTTATCTTTTCAAGTACCAGTTTCATAGATTAACCAATTCAGTTCCGCACCGTTTTGGCATCAATAATAACGAGAATCTTTTAGCGTGCAAATAAATCTGGAATCCGTTATTCAAGGCCTATTAGGCCAACTTTTCTTAGGCCTTTCAAACCAGTGCAAATTAGGCAGTAAGATTATGTATAATAACTTTGTTATCTCGACTCGGTAGTTGGTTGTCCCTCAGACTTTCGAGATAATGAGACTCTGATGTTTATAATACGTTTAAGACCAAGGAAGGCTCTTGCGTGGAAAGCAAAATGAACCATTTCAGCTTCACAAGAAAAACTTCAAGTTTCATTTATCAAAAATGCTCACTACTTACAATGCACTTCCAAGGTAGTGCCATGTGACGTAACATTTCCAAGACTGTTTTCCGCCACACATCGGTACACTCCATTGTCTCCTTTTCTCACATTCTTGACAATGAGCTGTTTTCCTTCGTAAGACAAATTCACTCTCGAACCGTAACTAGTGTACACAGAATTCCCCTCTTTAGTCCATGATATTGTCGGTAGTGGATTTCCAGTGGCGTTGCAAAATATAGTCAACTTCTCTCCTTCGATTCTCTGAATCACTCGTGGAAGAGGGCTGATCTCGGGTTTAACTACAGTCATCCATATGAGACAAGCAAAATTTACAATCTAGTCAGATCAAAGCACCAATAGATAACAGTGTTGGGCCTTGACTCCCTTGAGTCTAAGTCAACTCTACTTAAGAAAGAAAAAGGTTGTGGCAAGGACTTGTACATGATGCACCCATCAAAATGGACTCGAATCTTAATTGACCAAATGAGAGTGTAAATTATAGTCCTGGGTAATAAGCCATGAACGGGTGAGTTGAATTGCTTAGTTTTACGTGTAGATTCGAAGATGACTGAAAGCTTCTTTAGGCCACTAATATATAATATTGCTTACGAACTCCTCAGTCGTATCGGTATAGTGTAAATTAACGTGACTTCATGTTCCTTGTTCCCTATAGGTATAATCGAGGTCCTGAAGGACCTTACCAATTGCTCTAGGCAATGGACGAACCGATCAATTCTTAAACACTTTCATTAAGTAATTACTAAGAAATAGAGCTGAAAGTCGCATCGAAACAACTAGTGAGGAGTTATAAGAAAAATGGATAAAGAGACATGGGATTAGTTCGCCAGAACTCGGATTAAAAGGTCCGGCTTCGAATACAGGAGAGGATATTAGCTTTTTGTTTTTGGCTCACAGTGCCTCTTTTCACTCAGGTCTTAATGGCTACCTTCAAACTGTCAAGAAAATCTGAAGATTTTGTCGCTAGAGGTAGGCAATGGACAAACAACCCATTTATGTTGAATCTACTCTAAGTCATCTACAATGCTAAAACAGATATAGGCATCGGAAGCTGAAAAAATTAGAAATATGGAAATGCAGGCTGAACCATTTAGCATCAAACAAACACACCGACTTTGACATCATCAAAATCTGAAACAATTTCTTAATTAAAGGTAAGATACGAAAGAACAAGCGATTAAAATGTTCCACCTACATTGCACTCCTAAATAAGCAGGATTGGAGGTATCGTATCCAAGGCTGTTAGCGGCCACACATCGGTATTCTCCGCTGTCTACTCTTTTTACATTCGTTATAGTAAGATGTTTGTTATCCGCCGACAAATTAACCCTGGAGCTGTTACTAAGAGGTGATCCTCCCTTGTACCATGATATTTTTGGTACCGGATTCCCCATAGCGTTACAAAGTAAGGTGACATTTTCTCCTTCTTTTTCAGTCACATTGTCTGGATGAGCAGTGATCCCTGGTATGTCTGTAACAGGAAACATTCCGTTAGTTTGTGGTTTTTTGTGAATAGTAAACAACCACAAAGTCTTCGCATAGGTGTGATGGAGTATTTGCTGGGGTTTAAAAAGTATTCAAAATTTTTACGTTGTGAGCAACAGCGATGATAACCAAACCATTCCTAGTCTGACTTCACCCAAACGACACCACTTAACGACTTTTGATTTAAATGTTTGGTTTTGGCTACAAATAATTTGCAATCAGCCATAATTTCAATGAGTTCATTCTTTAGATCTTAAGATAATCTCCTTCCAAGTAATGCAATTGCAAGATTGTCTTTCTCACGACACATCGTACTCACATAGTACATCAAATGTTGCAACTTGGGAAGAAGCATTTCCGATGTTATTGGACGCCAGACATTGGTATTCTCCGCTGTCTTTCCTGCTAACATTCGTAATCGTCAATTTCCGTTTGTCTTTTGAAAAAACAATGTTAGGATTGTAATTCGTATTGAAATGAGACCCGTTAAAGATCCATGATATATTTGGTTCTGGATTTCCTGAAGCGTCACAAAACCAAGTGAAATTTTCCCCCTCCTCTTTTGTGGCATTCAAGGGATTGAAAGCGATCGCCGGTGGATCTGCAAATAACAAATAATATCTGCAGGCTGATTTGTGTTGTGATAATAAAGCAAAAAAAGCTTTTTGAAGTGCAATGTATCAGACTGACTTGAGCATGGCTAATTTCACTGGAATTTACTTCCTACAATTTACGAATGATGGTAATTGATCATTAAATTTAGTCACTGAAATATCATTAAATGTAGTTTGTTGCAACATAACTAAATCAGGCAGTTTCCTACCGGTTACTTGAGAGCATTCACCCAAAAGCTTAATAATCGCCGCATAAGAGATTCCAAAGTTAATGCTTCGTAAATTAAAAATTCCTCGATACTTTATAAATTAAAAAGACAAGTGCTTTACTTGGTAGAAAGATCGTAAACATATCAAAATCGAGAAATTAATTAACTTACTATTTCACACGTGATATTCATAAGAATTATAATTGAAAGGAAAAAATATTGTCTTACATTGCACTCTAAGTGCACTGGGATTGGAAGAAACATTTCCAAGACTGTTGTGCGCCACACACTGGTATTCTCCACTGTCTGTTCTGTCTAAGCTCATTATAGTCAGTTGCTCGTTTAAATTGCTCAGGGAAACCCTTGAATTTCTGCTTGTATTTAGTGGAGAACCATTCACAGTCCAGGATACTGTCGGTGTGGGTTTACCATCAACAAAACACGATAAAGACACGTCAGTTCCTTCCACGGGTCTGGTATCCGGTGAAGTAATTTTTGGTTGATCTAAATCTGTTATTATCAGCAAGAAATAGAACAAATTAATATAAAACAAGACCTTTGAAATAGAATTTTATTTATAAATAGTTGTAAACATTATTTTTCCTGTGGCTAAGCTTTCCAAATGATGAAGTTCGAAGATACGGCTACAACAACTTATTGTCCAGGTGAAAAACATGCGACTAGTCCCTTTTTTTTTTTTTTTTTTTTTTTTTTCGGTCAGGTAAGAGTGCTCACGAAATCCTGCTTCCAGCTTTATCTGTCACCAGTCCACAGAAGCGCTGGCGTAAGGCGAGAAGTTGTTCTCTATGGTGATAGAGGGCACCTAACTCACTAAACAGGAGATGCTCTCCCCAAGCAAGCCAGAATGGTGGTATAGACAAGTCCTAAGTAGACCGAATATGAAAAATACTCAACTTAATCTGTGAGATTTAATTTGTCATATTTAAGTATCTGAATGACAAAATTTCTGACTATTGACATGATTCCTCGTGTGTCTGTAAAACATTCTTTTTCATAGGTTCTTTTTACTTACACAGTATCGAAATCTCCAATTTACTGTCATTTCTTGCTCGGTCTTTGCTGGAGACAACTGTCAACTTGTAGCTTCCCTCGTTCGTTCTTTTCACACCGAGGACAATGATTGATGTGTAATCATTTGTTATGTTCACGAGTATGCGACCTCGGTAAGGAGGCTTTATCCAAGCTGGGCTTAAAAGGGAATATTTGTCTTCAATCTGCGTATCTTTTTCAAATAACGCCTGAGAGAGTGATACGTCTTTGCCAAGTGAGTACCTCCATTCCAGCGTAACATTGTCACCTTCCAAAGCAAGGAATAGATTTTTAGGTTCTTCAGTAAACACCGGCGCACCTGATAAGACAAACATAACAATTTTCGGGCTTCGGTAGATTTCTACAACAACTTCAATAATCGCATATAACTACATCGCTTTATAACTTTACAGTCTTGGGATATCCAAGAAAAATAAAAAAAACAAAAACAAAAACAAAAAACAAAAAAACGATAAATTAACCTTGGAAATATATACGTTAAACCATTTTAGTTCTTTGTAAGAATATTTCGATTTAGCCATTTTAAAGTTAGTCTTATTGTAGGAGCAAATAGTGTTATTAATTACTATTTTAATTTTGATTGGTTCTTACGTATATACTGTTGAAGAACAGTAGCACAGATGAACATTACCAAAATTTTGCCTCTTTTATTACATAATTACGCAATGAACCACACTTTCCATCGGTTGCTATCGGCTAATAAAAGCACACAGGACGTTGGAGGAGCACGAGAAAATTTTGTAGACCACGAAGCGCAGCTAAGTGGTTTTCATATTTAATTGCCCCAGATCAAACGAAATCTGAAATCGCAGGCAGCAACCGAAATGTTGAGTGTTCAGTCATTTCGAAAGTGATTTTTTACCTCATGTTGATAGATTTTCAGTTAATATTTAAATGAAAATCCAGTTCTCGCTGTAATTTTCTTGGAGCAAATCATGCCAACTTTTCCTTCTTGGCGAACAGTCTGGGAAATTTTGGTTGAAAATTTCTGAAATTCCTTTACTTCAACCGCGCGGCGAAAAATAAAGGTTTAAAACGCAGTAATGAGTTGGTTAAACTGCTTTCAAATAGAAAATTTCGTGATGATAGAAAAATAAACTCTTTGTCGCTGTTTTTAGCGTTCAAAGTGTCTTCTTCGTTTCCTTCAAATCAAAAGCCTTTAACAGTTAAAACTGGGAATTCATACCGTGTGGCACCATTTCTCAAGAAGGAAGATGTATCAGTTTTCTATGGGTTTCCGGCTTTTTGATTAGCTAGAACGCGCTTTGTGTCTAAGTTATGTTATAAAACTAATAATTCCATGTTGCCAAGTGTAAGTATTTATTGATAGATCACATAGGACATAAAAATGAAGATAAGAGCATCAAAGACACTCCCCAGCGCCTCGTATGCAACATTTTTTGTTCTTACCACATTTTGACGTTTCTTAGAGCAAGAACATGCCAAGTTTTCCTTCACGGCGAACAGTTTGCAGAATTCTAGTCGAGAATTTCTGAAGTTCCTTCACTTCAACCGCGCAACAAAAAATTAAAGGATTAAAACGGATAAACCACTTGGTTAAAATCCCGGCAGCCCCCCGCGGCTATGGGTGGAATTCCACACATCATTTCCGGTTGTCTCGTCGAATATTGCGTTACTCCCGATTCCTTCCAAATTTGGTGTTATGACGCTAAAAGATTAAACAAATCATGTAGCGAGTTTGAAGGGCGACAGTTAAATGTGTGCTACACAACATTCATTTGAGTGCTAAAATTTCACAGTCGAAGATGGCCTCATCGTCGAAGCGTGCACGGGTGAGCTTTATCTCCGCAGAAATTGCTTTAGAAAAAATATTTTACGATGAAGACACCGCTGATGGGATGGACAGTGGAGAAGAAAGTGATTTAGACCGGCAGATCGAGGTGAGAAGTCAATATCGGCCATCGCGGAATGGTCGCCATCGCACATGTTGTCTTGAAATGCGAAGTTGTTCGCCTCAGATAGCCCTTTTGTGATTGATTTCTCGCGTACTTCTTGAAATTTGAATACAAATTGATTTTTGCGACTCTGAAAATCAATAATTTACGCTAAGAGTGTGTTTTTAGCGATGAGATGTGATGCGATTCAAACTATTTGCACAAGCGAAATATTAGACGCGTAATTCGATCAGCTGCTAGTTGTTGCTATGGAGAAATGCATTTTTCGAACGCGTCGGATGCTTGGGATTCGTTGGCGATTTGGCGATTTAGTTTAGTATCGCTTGTTCATTCGGTTAATTTTGAGTATTTTACGGAAAATAAGCAGTGTACATTTTATATTTTTAGCGAGGGAGAAGTTGAAGATGACGATCGGCCGGAGGAGGCTTGCGCTTCGACTTAGGAACCCATGGCTCCTGGTGAGTGAAATATTTCCAACCTGCGAAATTTAACAACAAGTATAATTTCCGAATGCATATACCATAGAATAACTTGAATTTGTTTAGGATATTATTCTTTAAATGTTGAGGATAATTGATTTATTCATTGAAAATTATATTTTTGTTTGAATGTGTTGTTGGTGGCCCCTCTGCTCCTTCTGCTGCTACCAGATTCTAACCACAAATAGTGTACTACGTAAGTCCATGAAGTGGTGGAAAACTATGGTTAACCACCTATTTGACATGGCTGTAATCAATGGCTTTATCCTTTTCAAAGAGCATCAGGCT